TGGTGCCATTCGATGTCAACTACCAACAAACTCTTGGTTCCCCATTTATTTCATTCATCGAACTCTCCATGCTCAACGAACACTATAAATGCAAAGGTTTGAAGCATAGTTTTTATATAATGTGTAGAGAGTTGAGCAACCATTAACTGGTCATTCTTTTTATGCGTTTTCTACTAACCAAGGGATGTTTGCGCTTTCTCTTTTGTCGAAAGCAGTGTAACCCTATATTATTATTCTTCCATTACTCGGTCATTTTAAAATTTTTTAACATACATATTTACGTCAACATGATGGAAGAAGTAAGACGAGCCGGAGTAGGATTTTCGTAAGACTAATTGTCTCAAATCACCAAGCACAGTTTTTGAAGAGTATTCAATTTTTCTGTCTATAGCATCATTAGATATGTGCATGGATTTGCTACACCTGCACACACTATAATAATTGCTCATGTGCATATACTTGGCGGTCACTGCATTCCTCGCGCCATTCAGAAAGATGCGACCCACGTACATCAGTTAAATGTGAGATGGGCGGCTTCCCTCATCCTCGAGACTGCCAAAAATGCATTTGTCCTGGTGGTTACGGCGGAGCCCGATGCACAGAAAGGGTGAGAACTGAACGACATGTTAACAGTTAAAGGATAATGCGAGAATGCTGTTTTCATTCAGCCATCAGGATGCGGCGAAAAAATTCAAGCCTCTACCAACTGGGTGACACTTGAAGATGTTGTTGGTAACAACCGTGAAAATGAAGATTTCTTTACATGTAACTACTGGATTGAAGTATGTTTCATATTCTCACCAAACTCTCAAACATTGATCTCTAGGCGTTACGCATTACACATTTCCGACAAATCTAGATAATAGAAACTTTTTGCTTATGCTTGACTTTGCTTGCCAATGGTACTTAAATGACGACAATTAGTACGAATTTTCAGTCCCCAGTCGGAACTGTAATTCAAGTTAGACTGCTGGACTTCACGACAGGTCTTTCTGTTGACGGATGCAAATATGCCGGTGTAGAGATCAAAACCAATAAGGATCAAACACTCACCGGTTACAGGTACGCTTGCGATAATATTATATATTATATATCGCCTTGATAATTTTGAGGTCATACATATAAAGAGTACCTGCTGAGATGGCGTGATAGCACTTAATTGAATTAGCGCTTCACTGATTGTCACAATATTCTTAAACGAAGTATTGATCCCTCGGGAAGTACAGCCAATTGGTCACTCTGAAAGATGCGTCACATTTGTAAGCGACTGTGACATTTTGACACTGAACAAAGAATATCTCTTCTCAGCGACTCGAAATATCTTAAAACTGTTAGAAGGTACGAATTGAAGATTCTGCTCACCTGACGCTGCTGGATTAACCCTTCAATCGTTCACAAATCGTGTTCCGATAATGACGTACAACAGGCTTTACAAATCCAAGACTGTTCTCGAATACCGATATGGTACGTGCTTTTCTTTCTTACGAAGTATTTTAAACTAGTATATTAAAACCAAAACCCATTCAGTCCCGAAAGGGTCGACTGTACCTCCTCCGCTCCCCCCTACAACCACCAAGAACCCCCTAGTCTCAGGTCTCCAATGCACGGACGAAAGCAGGTGCGTAACATTAGTAACTTATTGAAATTCAGCAAACACTACTGTTACATTTTTAGTATTTGTTCTTCCCTCGTAAGATCTGGCTTTTGCGACATGAGCTCAACCCCACTGAAAATCAGGATGAGAATGTGCGGAAAGTCATGCAACTTCTGCTGATTCTATGACTCAGCTTCAATAAACGTTTTTCATTTATTGTTATTCAGAATAATTCAAATTGTGCACGCAACTCACTCTGGTGGTACTCACTTTAGTTGCAATAGGCCTAATGATGAAAAAAGCTATTTTGAAGTTGATTCAATTGGGAAAACTCGTTCCTCATATGTTGTGTTTGGATTCTTCTGTGAAGATGCTAGACAATTTAGTGAAAGCCTGCCTAAAATTACGGAAGGGATGAATTCTCGTTGTTCTCGATTCCTTGGTTACCAAACGATTCGAAGCGAAACTTTGTACAAAACGCCTACATCTTGAACTTATATCGACAATCCTGGGAAATCTAGGGAAATCCTAATCCTCAAATGAATTGATTTTAAGCACCATCCGGAATTAGTGGAATATCTAATCCCAACAACAAGCCTTACAACGGCAGAATGGTGTCAAAAGATGTTTTCAACTGCATTTGTTGGTGTGCAAGCATTTTGTGGCACGTTTCATTACATGTATGTGTGTACTTCTGCCGTGTTTAAATGAATATCAGTGCGCGGCATGATTCATTCTTATTTCATCACGGTTTTAACTTCTTAACCTTCACGACGAAATGGAGCTTCAGGACCTTTCGAAGTTGGTGAAGAGTCTTTTGTTTGAAACCCTCTTTATCCTACTTTATATAATTCGCTAAGTGTGTCTGTTGGTGTGTCGGTGTGTTTGTGTGTGTGTGTGTGTCGGTGTGTGTTTGACCGGAAATTCATAACTCCTGTTCTCGTGGACCTAGAAAGCTCAAATTCGGTAGGAGTACAGGGGACAGCATGGAAACACTTATGGCAGGTGGCAGGAACGAACTCCGCCTGCAGGGGGCGCGTTGTGCGCGATAGAAATTTTAGGTCGCAAATTCATAACTACTGTTCTCGTGGACCTCGAAAGGTCAAGTTTGGCAGGAGTACAGGGGCAGCATGGGAACACTTATGGCAGGTGGTAGGAACGGCCCCCGCCCACAGAGGGCGGGGCGTGCG